CACGGTGGGAATTGACTGACTGTTTTCGAGCTCTCGATATCGACCTGATGATAGCTAGTGAAGTCCAAGTTGATCGACAAATTACCGAGACTAGCATTGCCATTGTTGTCCGACGTAGCCGTATTATTATCACAACCAACTTTAGTGTAGAAATCGTATTGAGTACTAGGAGTCGCCTGCCAAGCACCCAACACATAGAACAATATGCAGAGGGCACTAACCCCAAGAATCCATGTGAGACGTCTCCTCTTTGCTTGAAGCTGATGATGCATTTGCGAACCGCTTTACTCTCTCGCCATCACGATTTTCCCACTTTATCTATCTCATCACAAGCTAACAAACAATACACCAAAAATATCAGAACAAGGGGAAATTCAACAGATAATATGGTACCTGAAGAAGATGAGTTAGCTTTGTTGGAACTTCCAACTCCAAATACCAAGGTATCTGTAAGAAGGGTACATGGAACTTCGTTCAAATATACGTATAAACAAATAGAAACTATGATAATAGATAAAAGAGTACCATGAAAGAGGAAAGCATGAGTTATTGGCCATTTCTGTAGTAGGTGAGTAGTGTTGTACTATTAAAAAGAAGGGACGATGGTACTAGTTAAAGACATGTATTTACAATAGCTTGGGAGTTTTGTGTTTGGAAACGAAGATGGGATTGAATATAAGGACGGAAGGGAGAGAAATTAGGAAAGAGAGAGTGGATTTGGTCTAAAGAAGAAGAAGTTGAGAATTCAGAGGAGAGTGAACAGCCTCTTTTGTCTCCCTTCCATTTCCCCACCTGCTTTTTAGTTTCCTACATCAAACCTTTTTCTATATATTCAAACACTCACCTTTTTCTACACCATAGTTTTGCATGGTTTTAGTTCTCTGCCTATAATGGGTACTGGTTTACAGGTGGTATAGTTTTGAGGGATGACACATTTGAACACTTTAAACCTAGCTTGGGCCACATTCTTATCTTTTCCCTATTTCATTAGTCATCAACATCAAGATACCCATGTTATCCGACTCCTTATCAGAGCAATTTTCTTGTTCGGCATTGGTTGATAATCAATTAAATACGTCAAATTCAACAAAATGTTTTATAATACTATAGAGGAGGAGTCTACACTTCAGATCTGCTTCGTCATAAAGAATCTTTGGTCATCTCTTCTCAGTAACAAACTCCACAAGTTAGATCTGGTCAAAATTGGATTTGAAAAGTGATTTGATCTGGAATAATAATATAATTATTATTATAAGTTACTTATATATATATATAAAGATAATATTTATAATATTTTATTTTTATATATTTTCAATTATTTCTATATTTTATCAAATAATAAAAATATTTTTATTAGATCATGTCAAACAAGGATTTTCACCCTAAAATTTAGATTGAATTATTATTAATGCAGCCAAAAATTTAACTTACGTGCATCTCTAGATTTTCATAATCCAGATATATATATGTTTAACTTTCAGTGTAATGGACGTCATATTTTTTTAATATTGATATAATATTATCTTATAATGACATATTAACATTATCATTAATATTTTAATTATAGATTATCAAAATAAAATTAAAATATAACATTATATATAGTTTTAAAAAATAATAGTTAGATAATAAAATTATAATGAAAGGATACCTAAGGCTCCGGTACTTTTCTAAAAAAACAATATAGCCCTTGATTTTTTTTAAATTCAATGTGTCCCTCGGACATAAAAAAACACATTGTAGCCCTTTGACCAATGATTTTCGTCATTGACCATTCTGATATTGACATGATGGTTCACGGTATTGACGTTATGGCTAGTGACGTGAAAAATGAGCTAAAATAATTATTTTCAATTTTGAAGCCCGAGTTGATTTTTTTTAAAATTTGATGTATTATTTGGTTTTTTCTAAAACAAAAATATTTTAAATTTAAAATATCAAAATATCAAAAAAAATTATTAAAAATTAAAAATCTATTATTATTTTATTACCTCTAATTTAACTAACTTTTATTTACATAAATCGAAACTCGTTCATCCTACACAAATTTTTATGTTTTATATTTACATCCAATTATAATAAACTTTAGATGTCTTTCTAATTTTATTTCACTAAATTTTTATAAATATGAATTAGATAAATATTATAAATTATTATAAAAAAATAAAATTATAAAATTAAAATTTATTTATAAATTACCATGAAACTATAGAATTAGAAAATAAAAAAATAGTTATCTAATTATGAGGAGCATTTTTAGTGAATAAACTTGATAATAAATCTCACCTAAATTTGATCTAAAAATATAGGAATATAGACTTATCTAGCCAATTTCTATTATATACAATTCTGTAAAGTCAATGTGGATATGGACTCCACATGTTTGTAGGGATGGGCATTGTACCCGAACTTGACGGCTTTCGAACCGACCCAATCGGTCGGGTTATTTTTAAAAAAATTCAGGTCGAATCGGATCAGATTTTTTAAATATGTTGTTCGGGTCACGTCAGGTTCGAGTTTAGGGTGAAAAATATCCGACCCGACTTGAATTTTTTTTATAACTTTACCTTATATATTTAGGAATAATTACAATGATACCCTCTATATATTATTTTTTCAATTAAGTCATTGTTTTTATTGAATAAAAATAATATTTTTTTATTATTCCGGGTCGGGTCGAATTTTTAAGTTATATATAAGGTCGGGTGAAATCTTGTTTTGGTCGAGTTGGGACGGGTCTCGGGTGGAGGATTCCTTGATCTCGGATCGGGTGCAAAAACCAAACCCATGCCTATCCCTACGTGTTTGAGACTTTTTTTTGTCACCATAATATTTATTTTTAACTTTTTTTTCAAAAACAATAGCAAATATGTCTCTAAAAAAATAAAAATAAAATTCACATTAAATTTTAGAGACGAATTTTAATATAAGTTTTTTTTCCAAAATAATAAGAATATATATTTTTAAATTTTTTAAATTTTTATTTTTTTGTATGATTATAATTTTTTATATTTTAAATTTATGGCAAATTATAATTTCATCCCTAAACTTTACTCTTCTCCTATTTTCAGTCATTATACTTTAGAAGTTTCCAATTTCCTCACTGAATATAATAATTGAATTTTTTTGTAACTCCTCCATCATTAAATAGTTAACGACGTTAAAACAACGCCGTTTTTTAAAAATAAATTTTTTACCAAAACAACATTGTTTTACATCTATATAAAAACTCATTTATAACAATGTTAGCGAAGAAACAAATGAGTGACAAAACACCCAATGTATTAAGTTTAAAGAGAAAATTGAATACTTTTAAAATACTATTAGAGAAATAGGAGAGAGGATAAAGTTTAGTGATGAAATTTTTAATTTACCCTTAAATTTAAAATATTTTTATTTTTTTAAAGAAATTCAAATAAGACCTTAAACTTTTTCTAAAAAAACAATTTGGCCCTCGAACTTAAAAAAATCAATTAACTCATCTACCACATCAACAACCATGTCACCAATTACTGTGAACTACCATGTCATCATAACGAATCGCTACGTTAACACCTTAACGGTCAAGAACAAATGAACATCCTCAATACCGGGTTAGTGATCAAATTGTAAAATTTTAGAATTTATGGACTAGAGTAGATAAATGGAATAGTTTAGGGACTTATATGGGAAATGTTGTGTAGGATTGAATTACAAAGAAGGATGAATAGAAGGAAAAAATGGTCATTTAGTAAAGAAAATAATTTAATTTAGTAGTGGTTATATTAAACCACGTGGAATTGAAAGGAGGCAAAAAATCAAAGTTTCCAGAGTTCTCAGCTTCCTCTTTTTCTTTTTCTTCAGTCGTGAGCCCCAAAAGAAAATGTGAGTTTCTTGTGAGTTGATTAGTTCCTGAAATTAAGTTTGATTTATGATTCTTAGATGATACTTAAGCTCTCGATGATACTTAAGCTTAAAGAAAGCTTAAGTTATCTCAAAACTATAAAATGAATGAATTATGAGGGATTAAAGAGAAGGAGTTTCTAAATGAAATCTTGGAAAATAGTTGATAAGTGAAATTTGAAAATAAATTTGACTTGTCATTAGTTGAATTAAGAGATATGAAGTGATAGAATTGAAATTAGAACATGTTGAAATTTTGATATGATTCTTGACTTCCATATAGAGGATAGAATTTTGAAGATAAAGATGTGTTAGATTAGTACAAATGGGTTTAAGTATGTGTACTTGAATTAAGAGTAAAATCATAGTAGTGGATTTAGAATTAAGTGAGACTAAGGTGAGTGCATACAATAGGTGTAGTTCAATGGAAATAAGACTTGTGAGAAGTCTATTTCCTATATTATTTTTTATGGTCCAATAGTTATGAACATGCATATGTTATGATCATTATAGACACATGCATTAGTTATATATGATTATATGATTTGATACATGTTATTTGATTCATGTGAATATACTTAAACAACATATGTTATATGATATGAGATTGATGGTTACACGTACATGTGATATCTGACGGAAGAGAAGAAATATGTGATTATAATATAAATGATATTAATACATGAATATATGAAGCATAATGATAATGCCCATGTTATGTGATGTGAGAGCTATAGGTATAGTTGGCACTCAATAGTCGAGGGTTACATAGGTCCTTCGGGACATAGATGAGGTCCTTCGAGACATAGATCTCATATGCCACTCAGTGGATTTTTATACGAGCTGTGGTGAAAGCATATGTGCACAACCTCAAAGTACTCGCATACCTTAAGTTCTCAGTAATGTATATGGGCTTATAAAAGATATAAAGAGTATTTACATGATTATATGTTAACATGTTATTATTGTTTATACTAAATCATATATGATATTATTGAATTATGATATGATAAGTATAATTGCATTTGGATAGTTAGATTGCATGTTCATATTTATAGGTAATGCATTGTTATATTTTTTATGCATCACTAAGTCTACGACTTAGCGTGTAAGCGTTTTTACACGTAGGTACAGAGAAGCGAGAGGATCAGGCTTAAGATCTGCAGAACAACATATCTACACTCGAAGATCAGATCAAAGCACTTTGCATAGTATGTTTTGTTTTATGTAATAGATTTTTTGGCATGTAAACAGAGTCGTAAAGTACATGTGCTCTGATCAATTTTGTAATGTTTTGAAATATACTTATGTAAAATATTAACTTTATGTTAATGAAAGTTTATATTTTCTATACTTTTATAAATGTACATGTTTTGAATGGACAATGTGACACCTCGAATTCGTATCCAGGTTGGGCACAGGTTGGAGGTGTTACAACAAAAACCATTGGTCAGAGGGCCACATTGGATTATTTTTTTATGTTTAAGGGCTAAAAATGAGTATAAAAAATTTTTGCGAGCCAAGTTGGATTTTTTGAAAAAATACAAGGGCTTAAGTATACTTTTGCCAAATATAATCTAGCAGTAGATGTGTGCTCAAATAGATAATTTACCTTTCAGAGAGAAAATGATAATTCTTTTCCAAATTAATTGGAATTGTTAAGAAACAAAACCAAAAACAGTAGGATATAAGCCAATTGATTCCATTCTGATTTGGACTTTGAAAAATTGCATATTAGATGGGATTTATTTTAATCAAATCAAACAGTCATGCAACAAGACAACAACCTCAGCAATAAAACACATAGCACTTTCATTAGAGTAAAAGTGTATAAACAATCGTTCTTCTTCGGCTATCTCCCCTTTTCACTAACATGGATACCATCAAGGAACTTCCTTATATCCTTATTCTTCACATGGCATTTCTGTTCATCTAAATCCAAAGGTCCAACACTCATATTATTACTCGAAAAAAATTAAAATGTTTAACTTGCTAGACGTTAAAGAACTCCTAACTTTATAAACTCAATTCAATTCGAAAATCCAAGATGGTACCTGGTTTATCAAAGCTGCAGATCGAGACACAAGTTCAACATAATTACCATCCAAAACAATCTCATCCTTCACCTTCTCAGATCGAGCAATGGATACCCCTTCCAGCATATCCACCTTTCGCACTTGAAAAAAATTATAATAATTTCATTTTCATGTAAAAGAATAAAATGGGAAAGAAAGGGGAAGGGAGATAATACCTTCTTCTCGCCAAGGAAATTACGGATCTCGATGGACTTGTTGTCGTTTGTAATGGAGGCATTTATGGGAAAGTGGGCATAGACGAACCTCATCTTACAATGATAACCCTTGGTTACACCGGTGATGAGATTCTCGATGTGGCTGAGATTGGTGTGAATGGCAACACTGGTCTTCCTGGAGCCGAACCAGGACTCGATCCTGAGCTTGCGTTTGCCGGTTTCATTGTCTTTGATGAGATGGAAGTCGAGGTTGAGGTGTTTGAAGCAGGGTTTTAAATCATCACGGTCACGTTTTCGGTCATTTTGAATTTACCGTGATTGTGGCCGTTGCGGGCTATATTACGCACTATTACGGGTGTAGCGGGTAACTCGGACGACGGCAAAACTACTATTTTACGGACAAAATCATGTTTTCATACCGTGATTTGAAACTCTGGTTTGAAGTTACGACTAAGCTTGCTCCTTGGGCCTTCCACCTTGATCATCTTGGCCTTCACCTTGATGCTAACACTATCAGGGATGTCCATCGTCTCTGAAGAAAGTATGGTCTTCATCTCCACAAGAGTATTCACCAACACCACTTGCCTTCCACGAAACCCTAAACCTAATTTCTTTTATATATACCTGAAAATGATTCCTCGCTTAAAAAATAGGAGTCGGATTATGGGCATTATGTTGCTTTCATTTTAGACCCAATTTTGTGGTAAAAAAATAATTCAATAATTTTTTTGTTTAGATTTCGGATTTGAGGATTGAATTTATAGAGGTCATAAATATAATAATTTACTGCCATCTTTGATTCAGGGAGGTTCTACAACCTTTTTGATTGGCTAAAATTAAAATAAGGGTGAATAAAATTATGACTTTATGGTGCCTAAGTCTCCCAATGCAGGTATGGCTAGGGATTTTTGCCCTATTTCTTGATGCTCGGTTGTCTATAAAACTATCACTGGAATTCTTGTGAATCGTTTGGCTGGTTATTTTTCATACATAATTTTGCCAAATCAATATGCTTTCATTAAGGGGTGTAGTATGGTAGATAATACATTGTTAGCTCAGGAGATTGTTAGGGAATACTCTCGTAGTTCTCTTTCTCCTAGGTGTGCTCTCAAAATTGATCTAAGGAAGGCTTTTGACTTTGTTTGTTGGGATTTCCTGATGAAAGTACTTGCTTTCTTGGGGCTTTCTGAGGTGTATATGGGTTGGATTAGTGCTTGTGTCAATAGTGCAAGGTTTTTTGTGGCTTTCAATGGGAGTCTAGTGGGCTATTTTAAAGGGAGAAGGGGGATAAGACAGGGTGACCCACTGTCTCCTTATCTCTTTATTCTTGTCATGAATGTATTGTCTTATTTGTTAAATGTTGCTGCTATATATGGTTTGCTTCGGTTTCACCCCAAGTGCAAGCGTGTTTTTCTTACTCATCTTAGCTTTATTGATGACTTACTCATATTTTGTCATGGTACTGAGGACTTAATCTTGGGTGTTCTTGGGTTCTTGGGGTTTTTTTATGAACTATCTGGGTTGCAGCTTAATGCTAGAAAGTCTGAACTTTATGCTTGTGGGGTGCAGGAGGATGTATTGAGTAGAGTTCAGGAAGCTACTGGTTTTAAGTTGGGTAAGTTCCATGTTCAGTACTTTGGTGTGCCATTAGTCACCAGAAAACTAACTGTTAAAGACTATTTTCCTCTGATTAATAAGATTAGAAGTAAAATGAGTGTGTGGTCTAAGTTGAAGTTGAGTTATGGTGGTAGACTGCTACTCATCCAGTTTGTCTTATTCAATATATCAAATTTATGGTGTAAGCAGTTGGTTTTGCCTAAAGAGGTCATCAAGCAAGTTGAGCAGCTTTGTATGAGGTTCTTTTGGAAGGGTGATGATTCACCAGCTAGGGGGCTAGAGTTAACTGGCAACAAATGTGCTGGTTAAAGTCTGAGGGAGGATTAAACTTAAGGAGTTTAGGTTGTTGGAACAAGGTGTACTGCTTTCTTTTGATTAGAAATATCTTAGCTAATGCTAGTTCACTTTGGGTGGCATGGGTCAATAGTATGCCCTGAAGGGGTTGTTTTTTGGGATGCTAGCTACAAGTCTCAACTTAGTTGGGTGCTGAGGAAGTTACTTAAACTCAGGAATGAATTAGCTAAATTATTTCGCAATGTGGTGGGTTGGAGTATGGTAAAAAACAGTTAGGTTTGGGAGAGAATGAGGGAGAATAGGGAGAAGGTAAGGTGGGATCATCTTCTCTGGTTCCCTTTATATATTCCAAGAATATCAATTGTTGCTTGGATAGTTATTTTAAATAGACTCCCAACCAAAGACAAGCTCACTTGAATGGGATTGGAGTTGGATGGGTGCTGTGAACTCTGTAATGTAGGGTTAGAAAGCATAGATCATTTGTTCAATGATTATGCTTTTGCAGGGGGGGTCTGGAGTAAAGTTCTGCAGGCTTGTAGGTTACCTTACAGGTTATTATGTTGGAATGATACTTTGGCTTGGGCAGTAGGCAGGTTCAAGGGGAAATCCTTGCTTGTTTGTATCTTGAAGCTAGCTTGGATCTGTCTTATAACTGGGAAGAGCGAAACTTCAGGCATTTTAGAGGCTATTCTCGGGTAGAAGAAGAAATTTTTGAATGCATCAGGAGGTCTGTTGGTGCTAAGTTACAAGGCTTTAGCATAAATAAATTTGATAGGGTTAACCTTCAGCTTTGTCTTGATTGGAATATTGACTAATTTGTTGTTTGCTGTTGGTTTACTATGTGGTTGTTTAGTTGCTCACATGTTGATGAGAGGGGCCTAGGGGTTGATGATCCACGGGTAGTCACTGGCATAGCTTCCTTGTTTGTTGTTTGTTTTGTTTTGCATCTTTTTTGTTTGATCTAGGCTGAATTATTTTTCGAATCGGTTTGTTGCTTAGTTTGTTAGTAGGGGTTGATGATTATTTGGTGATATTTTGTAGCAGGCAACATTGCCTTTTCTTTTGGGTTATAAAATTTGAAATTATCCAAAACAAATTCTGACTTTATTCAAAAGATTAAATTTTTTTGATCTGACTCGAATTGACTTTAAGTTGTAATTTTATAAATTTAATTTGAAAAAATTTCAAATTCAAACCGTGTTATAAAATACAACATGAATAACTCAAAATTTTTAATAATTAGTGGATTGACTTTCAAGTTTGATTTGAGTTCCTCGACTTTGTGTAATATATTTTTATCACATATGAAAAAAATTGAAGAAATATATATATGTATTGTATATGGTTATAGAAAACTATTTAAATTAGAATCCAATAGTATCATAACATTACAAGTATTTACAATTAAATTTAAACAAAAACTCAAACAACTTGACTCGAATTTTATAAACTCGATTTGACTCGAAAAATGTTTAAGTTATAAAATAGAATTCATCAACTCAAATAATTCAAAATTTATTGATCCAACTCGACTCGATCAAATGCTCACCCCTCCGTTAAAAAGAAAAATTTAGTTTGATTTCTAACAATGTTACATTGAGTCCAAAATAGTTCGAAGATAAGATGAAATGGAATTTTAACTCTTCTTTCGGAGTTTCAAACTATATCCTATTGTAGGGATCAAAATAAAAGAAAACCATAATTTGAGACCTTAATTTAATAATTAATCTTACAATAATCATCCATGAAACAACAAGGACTAGTTTACAAATAACTTAATATTGTAGGGATTAAAAATAATTGACAATTGATATGTATTGGCTGCTGTTGTATTGTAGTATTTGCGACGATGGAAACAACCAGGCCTGCAGTCGACATCCCCATTATTTTAAGCACCAAGTTTTGCCATTTTCTTCATTGTCCACTAATGGCAAACCAAAGATACACTTTATAAATCAACAATTATAAAGGAGCCGATCCTCTTCTACCAAGTGGTTCCATAAAGGGAGTAATTAACTATGACCACTGCTGCCGGAGTTCGTGGCCGAAAGAAGTCATCATCCAGAGGACACCATAGATTTGTTGGGGTTAGGCAGAGACCATCAGGGAGATGGGTGGCTGAGATCAAGGATTCTCTGCAAAAGGTTAGGCTTTGGCTCGGAACTTTCGATACTGCTGAGGATGCGGCTCGAGCTTACGATGATGCGGCTCGGGCATTGCGTGGGACTAATGCACGCACCAACTTCGAGCTGCCTCCATCGTCGAAAACATCAGCTAATTGCATCTCGCTGGATAAAATCGAGCCTTTCTCATTTGAGGAAGTTTGTGGGACAGGGAACGATGCTGATGGTTTTCTCGGTGCACTCAAGGCTAAGTTGCTTGATCGCAAAGGGCTTAGAGTCCTATCACCAACTAGTTGTGCTGGTGCTGGTGTTTCTAAGGCTTCACGAAACAACAATAATGTTAGAAGAGAGTCAACTGTGGCTCCTCAATTAATTGGAAACCCGAACCTGAACTCGAACTCGAACCCTGTTCAGGATCAACTAAGTCTGTGTTCTAACAAGTCTGACCTTGTCCTAAATCATGATCATATCGGGGTTCAGTGGCCTGAACCTAGTCGAAGCCAGATTGCTTCTGTGGCAAGTATGATGTGGTCCAATGAACCTTCATTTGAAGCACCATGGGGCACACAGATGAACCAAGTCCCTCCAAATGGATTCTTTAATATCACCACTTGTACAACTGCTACCGCTACATGGCCGCTTTCCGAATCGATGATGGGCTTGTCATATTCGGACCAGTTCCCGATTGAGTTGCAGATGAATATGAACGGTAAAACAAACATGATGAGCATTCCGATGTCTCAAATCGATGAAACAACGGAAGGTGTTTGGCCATCGGAACAGCAGTTTGAGCAGTGCGACAACAATGGTTGGAGTAGTGGTAATGGCTCTTGGGATCCTTACCTCTATATGTCCTCTGTGCTGGGTTGAGTATTACCAATTCTTTCATTATCTTCTCCTTTTAACTTGTAATTCACAAACTAATTATTCTTTACTTTTAGCCCAAAGAATTATAAGCTGTAAATTGAATATTTTTCACTATGTATTAGTAGTACGCAGTAATTATTTTGTTACTTCAGATTGTAACCTGTTGCTGCAAGTTTGTGGGATGTAACCTTTTTGGTATTTCTATCTACACCTGATGTTTCGTTTATCAATAAACCCTTCATTTAGGACTATCAAAATAATTCGGGACGGCTACTTCATATTCAGATATTTTAAGATATTTGATTTATTTGTATGTTAAGATATATTCAAATTTAAATATTTTAATCAGTTCTGTCATGGACCCACGCTATGCTAACATATTTGAAATGAAAGCATATATTAACCCCTGTATATTCATCATCCAAATCTATTCTATTTCTTTAATTTTTGTCCAAACTTCTTTATACATATATTGACTTATGAAATTCAAATATTTAACGGAATTTATTCGATAAATAATTTAATTAATTTAGATTTGTATAATAATATCCATAAAGAGATCCTACTTTTAAAACACATTGTATATTCATGTCGAATTTTACAAAAATAGTATATGTTTCATCTGTTGTGATATGTATTTGTTGACCAGAATTATTGAGTTATGATGGTT